GTCTTGCTCACAACACACCTGTTAATACATCCCAGAAGCATTTTTGCTTTCTTTGCAACAGCATCACACTGCTGACTCATATTTAACTTGTGGTCCACTATAACCCTTAGGTCCCTTTCTGCTGTACTCCTTCCCAGACTGTCGCTTCCCATTCTGTATGTGTGAAATTGATTGTTCCTTCCTAAGTGGAGCACTTTGCATTTGTCTTTATTAAACTTCATCCTATTTATCTCAGACTATTTCTCCAATTTGTCCAGATTATTTTGAATTATGACTCTATTCTCCAGATTAGTCACAACCCCTCCCAGCTTGGTATCATCTGCAAACTTAATAAGCGTACCTTCTATGCCAATATCTAAATCGTTGATGAAGATATTGAACAGAGCCAGTCCCAAAACAGACCCCTGCGGAACTCCACTTGTTATGCCTTTCCAGCGGGATTGTGAACCATTAATAACTACTCTCTGAGTATGGTTATCCAGCCAGTTATGCACTCACTTTATAGTAGCCCCACCTAAGTTGTATTTACCTAGTTTATTGATAAGAATATCATGCGAGACCTTATCAAACGTCTTACTAAAGTCTAGGTATACCACATCCACCACTTCTCCCTTATCCACAAGGCTTGTTATCCTATCAAAGAAAGCTATCAGATTGGTTTGACATGATTTGTTCTTTACAAATCCATGCTGGCTGTTCCATAGAAGGGATATGAAGCCTCATGTTTCAGGACATTACCCATCGACTGGCTGCCTAGGGTTAGGATGGAATTTTGTCCTAAATCAGGTGATTTTAGAATTCTCCTCATGGGAGGGTTCTCCCTCTTTGGAACATCTGCTACTAGTCACTCTCAGACATGGTACTGACAAGATGGACCATTTTTCTGACAATTCCCATGTCCCTAATTTGTACTGGACATGTGTCTTCTTCAAATGAATGTTTTACTCTAATTAATTTTGCATCTGTTAACTTTAATTCTAGCCAACAATAGCAGGTGATATACATTCTGGGAATAATAAGGCAACATAAGTTTACAAAAAAAATCCCTTTGGGAAAAACAAATGAGACTATGAAACATAGGTGTGGAGAAAGAACGGAGTTATCACAAAACCCAGAATGGAAGTGTGACATTGTACTCCGATCAAATGTCTTTTGTAAGGTACTGCCTGATGTGTATGTTTAATACTGCCCTCTAGTGAAGGGAATCAGACCTGGTCATATTATTATTATTATTATTATTATTATTATTACAGAATTTGAAATTGTATGATCTACTCCAGACTTTTTTAGCTGGCCTTGATGGAATCTATAACCCTTAATATTAATTCATAATGGTCATTTTGGTTTTGCTCAAAAGGAAGAGATCTGTCTGTTTGGATCCAATGCAAATGAGTTCTAGATCTGTGCTGCATACGTGCAGTTAGAGAGCAAACTAACAGAGCTTCACTTGTTTCGGCTAACAAAAGGAACATTGAGAGGAGATCTAATTGCTCTGTATAAATCCACCAGGGAGTTAAGTTCCAGGGAGGGTGAAGAGCTATTTACGCCAAAGGATAATGTTGGCACAAGAACCGATTGGCACAAACTGACCGTGAATAAATTCATGCTGGAAATTAGAAGGTGGTTTCTAACTGTCAGAGAAAAGCAACTCGGGAACAGGAGTAGAAGAAGCAAGAAACCTAACTGGTTTCGAGATGAAGTTTGATACATTAATGAACGGGATTATACAATGTGGTTGCTTGAAATAGCAGGCAACTGGATTTGATGACTCAAGAGATTTGTTCCAGTCTTATCCTCCTAGTTAGCTGTTGATCCTTTTGTCTGTGATTTTTTTTTTTTTTTTTTGGCACACACATCCAGTGTGAATCAGTATGGCTCTGACTGTTTGACTCTTGTTTATGCCAATGGCAACTCTGGCCACAGATTATTCTGTTACCTGTGTTTGGGGGTTCTTTTATTAGAATTTATTCAAATGCTTTTCCCTCTTTACATCCCTCTTTTTAAAGTGGTGTACTTGTGGCCTGCCCCAGGAGAAATGTAGCTAACAGGGCTGTTTACTGCCTTGCAGTCCTGTTTCACTGTTGATTTAAGAAAATAATGGAGCGAATCTGTGGATACCAGCTCTCACATTACATTGTCACAGGTGTGTCTCTCACTTTTCACCTTGTTGGCCAGGAAAATGCTCTGCTTCGAAGAGGATAATCTCGCATAGATGCTCCAGTATTTGCTGTAGTTGACTAAAGCTGTCACACCAGAGCCCATGAATGCTTTTTAATTACTGAAGGCTGATCGTGTATTTGATGATGTTCATTGCATAGAAGCAGCTTCTGTCCGACATGGGGTTTGCCATCTAAGGCAGGGGTGGGCAATAATTTTTGCCCAGTGGCCACTTCAAAAATTTTTGAAGTAACCCCGGGCCACCCCAGAAAGGGCAGGGCCTAAACAGGAAGGGGCATGACTATCCTACCCCCAGACCATGATTGGTCTGGGGGTGGGGAAGCCCCTTTGCCCCCCTTTCCCACTAGGCACCCATGCTCTGGAACAGGCTTGGCACATCCCTCCACCCCCAGGCCAATCAGGGCCTGGGGGCGGAGAGCGCAGGGAGCCTCCTCCTGCCCTGCGAGGAGCACACAGCACTTTGAAGTGCCATGGGCTCTTCACAGGGCTGGGGCAGGGTGAAGGAAGCTTCACGCAGCTCTCCTGCCCCCAGACCCTAATTGGCCTGGGGGCAGGGGAGCAGCAGGGCCTCCATGGGCCGGATCCACCCGCTTGGTGGGCTGGATCTGGCCCACAGAGTTCCTTTTGCCCACCCCTGATCTCAGAGCAAAAACACAGTCAAAGAGGGCTTTTGACTTTGGACTAGAATTTGATCCTTGTCACATTTCCTGCAATACCTTTGGGAGATATGACTGTGTTAATATATGTAGCATTGCGGACCAGCTAGGCACTGTATGTAAGTCTAGGGGAGAGAGTAAGCACAGCCCCTCCAGGAACTATAAAAAGTGGGGTGCTGCTAGTTCAGAGTGGATTTTCCAACCGATGCAGAAAGGACTTTTGGATTAGTCTGAATTTAGCCTGATTCAAGGCCTTCTTTTGAGTCCGGCGGACAGAGAGGGCGTTCTATCCAAGGGACATCCCAATGCTTCGGGAAGGGTTGGAAGGGCTCTGGAGTTCTTGTGGAGTAGGAGGGCTGGACTCCGGACTTATTAGCAAGCATGTAGGTGCTTTGATTGTTTTAATATGTTTTCTCTGGCATGCTTTTATCTTACAGATAAATGTGCTTGCTTCAGCAGAGCCATGCGGTCCCTTAAAATCATAGGCAATTATGCTGATATTAGCCTCCGGGAAGAAAAGCAAAGCAGGCTTGTTTAGGCAGTCTAACTTTCTGGGGAAAGGAAACTGAGCCTGAAAATACCTTAGTCAAGAGGGAGGTGCATGTCTGTACCCAAGAGAAGTGATGGCTGGGAAGCCAAGCGGCCTAAGGGTAAGAGCCTTTGGTGGACCAAGGGCACATCTTCACTCGCCACGCCGGAGATCAACGTTCTGGCATTCAGTTGAGTGGGTCAAGCATAGACCTGTAAATCAAACACTGAGGGCAGCTCCAGTTGGTGCCTGAACCCCTTGCAGTCACAAGGAGTAGGGAAGCCGACAGGCCTCCCACTGTATGAATGCTGCTATGTATTTTACATAGCTGGAATTGTGTACCATAAGCCGACCTTTCAGGGCTAGTGTAGACCTGGCCCCAAAAGGGGGAAAAGGTGCAGTTGCCCTGCATTGTGACAGTCCTAACAACATATCTACCCTAAATCCCAACCCAATGGGAAATAGGTTGGGTTTTTTTGTATTTATTTCAAAAGTTCAGTGAATAATCAGCCATGTAATTATTAGCTCAGACCTCAGTTGGCATAGCCTGACATAGCTCCCTTGAGTCCCATTTCTAGTACAGTAAAACCTGTGTTATCCGGCACGCTCGGGGATTAGGGCATTCCGGTTATCTAAAAATTCCGGTTATCTGAGGGTTCCATCAACCTAGGATAATCTAATGGATAATAATAATAAAACTCAAGTTTTTAATATTGGTAGTTTTGTAGTGTGAGGCAGTTGGTCTCACATTTCTATTTTGAGATGATTAGTACTTCTTAAATAAAAAATTGTTAAGCCAATCATGGTAGACCAAGCCAGGTCTGGGCACCTGAAAATGTGACAATATTGAGGCTGGGGACAATGCCGGTTAACAAAGTTTTCTGGTTAACAGAGTGCCGGATAACAAAGGTTTCACTGTATATTGTTTTGAATAACAAGACCTTGAAGAAACACTCACACATCCAGGGTTGCACATAGAGGTGTGGCAAAGTGATCAGAGTTATGACTCCTATTTCTGACTTTTTCAGTAGGATACATCAGGTAAGTCACTTCCCTGGTGTTTCTGTTCCACCCGTCCACTGCAAACATCCCCAAGAAAAGCAAATGAATTGTACCTTTCTTACAGGGAGGTGGTGCAATAATTAGCACAGGGAACTCTTCTATGAGAAGAAGCTATAGATGTACAAACTCTGGTTATTATTACTCATCAGAGTTGTTAACTCGAGTCCCACGACTTGAACCCGAGTCCGACTTCAGTCGCCTAGGTGACTCGACTTGAGACTCAACTCGGGTTCATTGTTTGTGACTTGAGACTCGGCTTGAGACTTGCTAATTTTGTTAAATCGACTTGGTGAAAAAATTGTCCGAAAATGCTGATATTGATGTCTTGTACAAAAGTGACTTGACATTTTTTAAATTAAGACTTGAGACTCGACTTGGGACGCAACTCGAAAGTGACTTTAGGGACTCAAGACTCGACTTGAGACGAACTGTAATGACTTGAGACTCGACTTGGACTTGACAATGATGATTTGAAGACAACACTGTTACTCATTAGGAAGATTATGGACTCAGCAAATTCTTGTTTGTTGAAAAAAGAATCCTGTTTAATTTTGTTCTCTTGTCCTTTCTCCTAGCACAACCACGCTACCTTCAAACATCAGGATAACCAATGGCTACATCACAGTCAATCCTCCCGTTTGGTTTTCAGACCAACTGGATCAGAGACCACGTTCAGATCTCCCGTTCCACCATCAGCCAAAAAGCTCAGCACCTGACAGCACATTGGTTCCATCCATAACTGCTTCTTTCTATGTGCCAATAGCGTCTTTTCTCCTGAGTTTTTTGAGGCCTTCCTGACCAACCTAGGATTATGTGCAATACCTACAATGGAGAACAGAAATACTTTATGGAAGAGTGGGTTGTTCCCTCAGCCACGGTTCCAACCTGGACCTTCTCACTGAGGAGAAATGGTAGTGCCTCTAGCTGGTTTTGTCTCTTAGCCCAGATATATTTTGAAACTCTAAAGCTTTATTATAACACTGACTTACATCTTCTTTTTTGTAGAAGGATCTTTATTTCCCATAGTGCTATGGGGCTTTGTAAAATATATGTGTTCATATATATAAAAATGAAATAGAAAAAACGTATTTATTCAACTGGTAAACTTATTTTTGTTGGTATTGGATATATTAATAACATCCCCATTATACAGTAGTAATGGTGAAACAGATAAATTAATATTTTCTATATTTGTTTTATAACCAATATGTCAACAAAAGGATACTCAAGTATGTGTTTTTGTCATTGCAATGTTACATGAACCCTCCCTGAGAGAAATTTGTGAGATTAGTGGGTGAAGGGGGATATATCCATTTAGCATGTTTTAGACATATTTTAGACAAGTCATGTTGTCTGTGGCCTTGACATCACTTCACTCGAATTTGTGAACCCGAGGTAAAATCCTAGTGAAGGAAACATTTTTGGTGGTGTTCACATGACTTGGCAAATCAAGATAAACACTAAGCTTCCCCCATTGCCTCTCACTCAACCTGCTAACTTGTAAGACAAGTGCAGAGTGTGTTGTCTTCACTAGGATTAACAAACTAATGCATCATGGTAGCTAACTCCAGTCAAGGTCTCACCTTTTTCCTCGTGAAAATGCCTGGCATCAGTCTGGAGTAACTCTGCTGAGTTGGTTTCTCCTGTCACATACTTTTTGCATGAGTGTGACGCCTCACTAGATTTACCCAAGTGCTAATGAGAGCAGAATGTGGCCTACCCACTATATTTAAATGTTTAATATCATGCTAGTCGATAACGCTGTGGCCACATGTCCTCCAGAGCAAGCCAGGGTGCAGAAACATCTTAAAATTCACCTTTGTGGCTATGATCCTGTTGCTGTGAAATACATGGCTACTTTCTTGGTATTGGATTCTGAGCTGATCCAATACCATTAGACTTCCATTGATGTCAGTGGACCTTGGATTTTGTCCTTTTAATGGGTTTTGGATTTGCTTCTTAGAAGAGCATGAAAACAGAAGAACCAGATTTTCAGCTGGGGTAGACCATGGCTGCACTGTTGAGTTAAACAGAGCTATGCCAATTCACACCAGTTGTGATTTTGGATATCTATCTAGGTAGCCAGTTTTGAGCTTGGCAGTGGTGGAAAAAAGTCCATCTCTTGTTCATAATTCCAAACATATTTGGGGTATGTCTCTACTGCAGAGCTTAACTCAAAATAAGCTATGCAAATTGATCTGCATCAATTCCTTATCTTATTTCAAAATAGCTTATTTCTAAATAGGAAGCGTCCACACAGCACTTATTTCAAAATAGAGCTCTCTTCTTCCGACTCCCCTTACTCATCGTACAACGAGGTTTACAGGAGTCAGAGTAAGAAGTTCTCCAGCTTGACAGTATTTTGACACTTTTGAAATAACTGCCTGCTATGCAGACGCAAACTAAGTTATTTCAGAATAGTGCTAGTTATTTCGAAATAGTGTTGCAGTGTAGACATACCCTTTGGAAAACTGAGCTGGAGAAAAAGAGACATAACATACAAAACCTTGCCTGAGCATAGTCCTCATTGAGAATTAGTCGTGCCAAAAGATAGTTTGGTTTGTAGAGCTGGTTGAAATGTTTTAATCAAAACACTTTTTTGGAGAAAACACAAAATAACCAAACTGAAACAGTTTTGCAGCACATTCAATTTTTATTTTTAGAGAAACGGTACAAACCCAAGCAGGTCCACTGCCTCGTGAGCTAGGTCTGTTTTGCCAGGGCAAGCACAGAACGCTTCAGGTGAAATGGAAGACATTGACCTTTGCCCCAATGAGAGCTTCAAGCCAATCTCATGCATATTTTTCCATTGTATATTTTGGCATGTGGAAGATTAGAGATGTTGGTTTTGGAAGGAAGCCATTCGCTTTGCATGATATTTATTGCACTGGGCCGCATATTGGAAACATGTTTTAGGAACTTCCGTTACAGCTTTATTTGAGCTCTTACACTGTGGAGAACTTCATTTGAATATAATGCCTTTGAAAGCCTTCAAATTCAACCTTACTGCCCCTCAGCCGGGAGGGCTCTCTGGCTGTTTCAACACAATGAACAGATCATCTGGACTGCGAACTGTGAACTCATTCAAAAATAAGCAATCCCACCGTAAATGGACTTGCAAGTAATACAGGTTTAAAAGCATAGAGGGGGAAAAAGTAAAACAAAACAGGATTATTATTACTTGTAATATAGTAGCATGGCACACAGGGGGTCCAGCTGGGTCTTCCAGGACCTAGATATTGTACAAATGCATAGAGAGTGACCATCCCTGCTCCAAAAAAAAATTACAATCTAAATGGAGAAGACAGAGAAAATGTGAGAGACAGAAAAAGAAGTTCACACAGCTGAAGTGATTGTCTCAGCTTACATGTCGGTGACAGAGCTAGGAATGGCATTAAGTCTTATAACTCTGAGACCACTGTCTTATCCATTGGACCCTACTGCTTTTGTTGTTGTTGTTGTTGTTGTTGCACTGTTGCAAGTCTAGGAACATCTAAGGCACCTCATAGTCAACTAGAACTTCATCATAGCAGAATGGCTAGAACACGGACCTTCCTGCTCCAAAAGCCTGGCTCCCTACCATCTGAGCCAAAGGAGAATCGCCATTAACATTATAAAGCCTATGACATGCGGCTGAGTAGTTTTGATTTTCTCTCCTATAGGATAAGAGCACACATATTACAATATTTATTCTATATATATTTCAGCTATACCTGACACTTCCCAAGAGTTTATCTATACCTTCATGGGAAATAGGCATTGCCACCCTTTGTTGAATTGCTCTATACTTGGATGTTCAAATTTCATAGTGTGGTCCATATTTTCCACAGAGACTTCCTCCTGGAGACCTCCCCTCCCATTCACAATTTGGCCACTTTCCCTCCAATTCACAGTCCTAGAACATCTCTAGAGCAACTTTCTCATGTGGAAAAGTAGAATCAGATACAGGCTGACCCTCTCTTGTCCAGCACCCTGGGTACTTGACCAGTGCCAGACTGAAGAATTTGCCAAACCATTGGAGATCAATATTGTCTAGCAGCATTACCAAGACTTCTCCTGCTTATTGGGCTCTTAGAAGGTAAAGTTGAGTGAAATAACAGCTCAGAACCAAGCAAACCAGGACTGGTGGCTCTAAACAAGCTTGGAAACTTGGCCACATCCATGATAAGTGGACATCCGGCTAACTACAATCATGCTGACCACAATGTTGCCAGAACAGAGAGTGCCAGACTACAGAGGTTCAACCTGTAGCTATTTAATTCATCATTAGCTGTTTTGAAGGCCATTTTGAAGCTGGAACTAAGGAGGAGGAGGACCCAGTACTGGCTGATCAAGCTTTCCTTGGACTTGTGAGAACTGTGCTGAAGTTATTATCATTGGGGTTCCCTGATTAATTTGATAATATTTGCTGTATGCTTTAGTGTATAGACCTCTGTCCAGCTAACTGGTTCCAATCAACTGTTTTAAACCATAGCAGAAAATATGGAAAGGACTATAAATAAAACTTCCTAGCATAGACAAAAATGGAATATTTAGTAATTAACTGTCAGCCCAATACTAATAAAAAATACATTAATACTACATAGTATGTGGCTCTGTTTCTGAAAGATTCTTTATTCAGATGGGCCATGTTAATGTCATGAATTTTCCACATGAGTTTGGAGAGTGTCTATATAATTCAGAGAGAAAACAAGCTGGATTCAGAATAGTCATAACCACATACTACCAGCTGCACTGCGATTTTATTTTCATTCTCTTCTTTGAGTCTTTAGGGTTCATATTTTCCAGCACTGCTCAGCAACCAAGAGGGCTGGAAGCTGATTTTTTTCTCTTATGAAAACTGAGAACCTCGTGTCACCTGAATCCAGGAGCTGGGGATTTTAGCCACACCAAGATATCAAAACCACTAAATACCACAAAACTCATACTACAATGATAAGAGTTGGTGACACGGTTTGCATGTGGGAATCACATGGAATCGCCAGATTTCCTGAGATTTGTGCTACTCAGGGCCAAGATTTAGGCATTGTTGAATCCAAATGTGACACTTTTCTGATTTAGTCTCATAGCTGTATCCTAGGCTAAAATCAATATTTTAGTACCCTCTCCCCTATATCTAACTGCGATATTGCGACTTATGCCAGTTAACTATTGAGCTGCTATCTTTTGCCAAAAGGAATGTACATGTTGAACTGGTCTAGTCTGGCACTTTCTGTTCTGGCAACATCTGTGGTCTGCCATGACTGTTAGTTAGCTTGTTGTCCACTTATCATTAGCATGGCCAAGTTTACTGCAGTCCCATAGGATGTGTCTACACTTGCAGCCTAATTCGAAGTAGGGATGCAAATGTAGGCGACCGAAATTGCTAATGAAGCAGGGATTTAAATATCCCATGCTTCATTAGCATGATCTCGCCGGCGCGTCACTCCGCTCAACAGCTGTTCCGAAAGTGGAAGTGCGCACCTTCAAAAAATGAGGAGTAACGTTAGTTTGAACCAAGGGGTTTGGTTCGAACTAACGCGTCCCAACGAGCACTTTCACTTTCGGAACAGCTGTTGAGTGGAGTAACATGCCGGCGAGATCATGCTAATGGAACGTGGGATATTTAAATCCTTCTAAAAGCCCAGCCTTCTAAGAGCCCAGCAAACAGTGGAAGTGTTGGTAACGCTGCTAGACAACATTGACCTTCCACAGTTCAGCAAATTCTCTGGTTTGGCACCAGTCAGGTTTTGTGGGAGCTGAACTAGAGAGGAAAGATTTGATAGCAGCCTTCAACTTCCTGAAGGGAGGTTCCAAAGAGGATGGAGAGAGGCTGTTCACAGTAGTTGATGGATGGCAGAACAAGGAGTAATGGTCTCAAGTTACCTTGGGACAGGTCTAGGTTGGATATTAGGAAAAACTACTTCGCTAGGAGGGTGGTGAAGCACTGCAATGGGTTACTTAAGAAGGGGTGGAATCTCCATCCCTAAAGGTTTCTACATCTTGGCTTGACAAAGCCCTGGCCGGGTTGATTTAGTTGGGATTGGTCCTGCTTTGGGCAGTGGGCTGGACTTGATGACCTCCTGAGGTCTCTTCTAGCTCCATGATTCTAT